CGTTAAGCAGCGCGGTGTGTTGAAGCTGTCATCAGCTGATCAGGAGCTAAAGAGGCAGATGTTTTCATCCAAGAGCATCACGGCCGTGAAGAACGAGGAAGACGTGATGAATATCTACGGCTACTGACAGGGCTGGACTGGGACAAAAATTCAGCCCGGGCATTTTGACTGGAGACCGGCCCATCACCTGTTTTTTTTGGAAAAGACATTAAGCCTTACGCTGCTTCTGACACACACCAACGTACACTTTCTTATTGGTAGTATTTATGTATCAATCTAATAAACGTAAACCTACACCATCCTTCCTATCCTGGTATTCTAAAAAGTAGGGTTGGGGGTAACTGATTATTTTTAAAATGATTATTCTGGCGATTATTTTATCGAATAGTCGACTATTCTAATGACTATTTAGATGATTAATCTAGCGATTACTTTTCTATTGCACAATTAATAAAAACCAAAAAATTCTCAAATAAATTCCTCCAAAAAATTGATAAGTTGTTACTGTAAGAGAATAAACACTACAGGCCTTCCATTTTGTATAACACTGCTTTTATTGTGTTGCGGTTGTTTATGTTCTGGTGACGTGTAGAACTTGGGAGTGCAGGCTGCTGCCTGAGAGGTGGTTGGAGACGGAGTGTCTCCATGCTGCTTTGTTTTGTTCACTTATGTGCATGAGGCAAGTGGTGTTACGACCCTTCCTGGGGAGTCACGTGTTTCTCCTATTTTAACTGTAAATCCTTCTAGCTGTTATATTTATAACAAGAAACAGATATTCGGACAGAATATTTTCACGTTTATTCGAATATGATTGTGGAACACACCCAGCATCATAATACATGAAGTAATATTTATGCCAATTTAAGCCTTTATGGGTGACCAGGACTCTGTGTTTATGAATGTGGAAGACACCCAGCATCCTGTGATGGCACTAATAACATCAAGAGATAATAAATAAGGTAATATTTAGGTCAATTTAACCCTTTACAGGTGACCAGGACACTGTGATCAATTTTTGGCAAGGGAAATTATCATTTGTTGCCATTTTTGAGGTGTTTATGAATGTGAAAGACACCCAGCGTCCTGTGATGGCACTAATAACATCAAGAGATAATAAATAAAGTAATATTTAGGTAAATGTAACCCTTTACACGTGACCAGGACACTGTAATCAATTTTTGGCAAGGGAAATTATCTTCTTTTTTTTTTCTTTTTTTTTTGCCATTTTTGGGGTGTTTTTGATGACACAGTAGGCAGTATGAGTACAGTAACATCAACAGATAATACATAAAACCCTTATTTGGTCAATTTTAGCCTCCATGAAAATCTTAGCGATTCAATCACTTTTTGGCAAGTAAAATGCCATTTTATTTGTCTACAATTAAATCATCAATAAAGAATTAAAGATATTTTGAGGCATTTCTTATAGGTAAACGGGAGGGTGTAGTCTATTTGGCAAGTGACAATCTTAATTTTATGTGCTGAAGTGCTTTTATCTTGTTACTTTTAAATAGAGCAACGTAATGTAAGGGGAAAAAAGTTAAATCGCTGGAGAATTGTTTATTTCCATTTATACAACGTTTACATTCAATACAGGGTGCCATTTTACATTGTTTATTTATTTTTTTAGTATCAAGGCTGTAACATAAAGAAAGCCAGTTCTTACCACAAAGTTTGTGGCACAAACCATCTTTCAATCGCAAATATTGCAAAAAGGATTAATATACCCTCATTGTGAACGTTTAAGACAAATAGCAACACTTAAAACAACTTCCGAACTGGAAAAACTAATGTGGCAAGGTGGAGAAACGAGTGCGCGGGCGGGATTCGATCCCCAGACTCCCGAGTGAGAGTCATACGCTCTAACCAGTCAGCCAAAGGGACATCTCCTTGGCCCAGTAGCCAGGGCGCATCATCAATCGGGACATTGTGGATGCTCACACTGCCACATCTTCCTCCCTCTTTCCACAAGCACGTCCTCGTGCGCCCGCGCAGGGTGCCACAAACACTGCCACACTAATATCTGCTATAAACATCTGTTTAAGTACCGGAAGAGGTTATCTTTGCTTTCTGAATGTCCATATTGCCAGATATGCTGAGTTTTAGGGCGAAATCCTGGGGAATTTTGTCTAGAAATGCAATTACCTCACCGTGCGCGATCCCGCGGTGGCTAATCATTTTTTGGCAGCGAGTCAATTTATGGCACAACACCGGCTCGGGTTTCTCCTCCTCCTCCCTCTTTTCTTCTCCAACCTGTCGCTGGGCTGAGGCTCCATCACTTCCTAAATTGATTTTACTTGAACCTTCACTACCAAACAACTGTGAGATTTTAACACATGTGCCAGCATCAGCCAGCCTGAAGGGCCAGTTTCTTTTTTAGTCGAATTTTCTCCGCTCCTCCTTTCCGTTTTTTGTTCTCCATTTTGTTAAGCTCGTCTGTCTGTTTACTGAGATTCACAAACAACTGGCGGGTGCATCAGACCTCTGGCTATTGGTCCAGCCCAGAGTGTATTATTACCAATTGGCCAATCCACCAACTTTTACGAGGCGTCGCGTGGGGCGGCGCGGACAAGTTGTCCGCAACAACTAGAGACTAGGAAAAAAAACAGACACCGGCCCATAAAAGATGAAAGGGTCGGCCCAGCGGGCAGTTGCCCGCTATGCCCTATGGTCAGTCCAGCACTGGCTGCAGGTGTGGATCTGCAGCCGTGCCCTTCTTAGCGTGACAGCAGGACGTCTCGAAGGTCCGCTCACCTGTTCACTGCTCAGACGTCCTGATCTTCTACCTTCCTAGATCATCCAGCTGTAACCTGTTCCTGATCATGTCTTTAGTCCCGCTGTAACACTGATGCATCAATCTCAGACGTCATGGAGCTCAGGTGTTATTAGAACTACCTGTGTGTGTTCACCACCCAGCTTCAGCTCTTCTGTGGTTGGGTCTGACCCACGTTAGTAAATGTAAGTCCTCCATCAGGATTGTGCCTCTTCTAGTGTCATTTTAAAGGATATTTATTTATTTAACCGTTACTAGATTAGCAGCAACAGAAATGCTGCTAAAAACACACAATTATGTGAAGCTGGAAAAATTAAAATACTGTTCAAAATTACATTTATTTCTGTAATTTAACTAGACCGAGAGACCATTTAAAGGCTCGGGAACCTTTACAGGTGTTTCTATTTGCAATTTTAAATTTTAGCTGATTGGGTTCTTGTTAAATATCACACAGTGACCTTTTAACAGTCTAGATTAGTGTAATGCTCCTATTAGTAGTTCCTCCTGTTAAGTGCTTATTTAAATTATTCAGGTTTATAAAAAACATTTGGACATACATTTTATTATGTTCAGTCATTAGTCATTTATATTTCACTGTTGTAGTGATTCTTGCATTCTTTAATGAAAAAAGTAACTAAGTAGTTATTTTTGTTGGTAATTACTTTTATGATCTTGTAACTCAGTAACTGAGTTACTTTTTTGACAAAGTAATCAGTAACTATAACTAATTACTTTTTTAAAGTAACGTTCCCAACACTGACGGTACCGCTGCAGACGCTGATGCTAGTAGCATAGATGCTAATGACTGCAAAGACTTACCGGTTTTTCTCCTTAAAGCATCAACATGTTCCATTGTTGTTGAAACACCTTCCTTCACCATCAATCCTTCTCTTCCTGTTGGGATAATTTGTGGTTAGTTGTTTTCACTTGGTGCCTTAAGTAAACACAAATTTGGCTACACTGCGACCTAGTGGAGAAATACTGCCACTGCACTGGCAACACAATCACCATGCATTATGGGAAATGTAGTTTATAGTCACTGTATGCTTTGAAGCGGCATAGACCTATTTTTAGACACTTGAAGCTCTTGCGAGCCACATCTGGCCTGCGGGCCTTGTGTCTGACACATGTGCCCTAAGCGATCGGCTCGTGGGACGTCTGGTTCAGCCTGAGTGACTCTTCCTGGTGCTACATGGTGACCGAGGGAGAAGATGGTTAAAGACGGGATTGGACTCTGGTGAAATCGCGTGGATACCTGAAGACGAGGACTAAAGGATAGAGTTGCTTCTCATCTAACAGGAAAAGATTGACTGAGACCAGGAGGGTGGTTCTGATAACGGTTCTCGTCTTGCTGCTAGGAACCATTCCTGATATGTACAAGGAGCTTCTGCTGGAGGTGGTGAAGATGATAAGCAACGGACAAGCAGCACAGAAACAATGCATCGTCTTTAACGGAACATCTGCCAACCACATCATCAGAGGAGTTGTTCACAATGGAAGAGTAAAGTGCAACCACCCTAGACGGGTTTCCATACCTGCATTCACCTCAGTACAGTTACACCTGTAGACGCAGATCTATGTCCAGGTTGTCTGTAGTTGGGGTGTGTGGAGTAGAATGTTTTTGTTAGTACAGGAGTTAGATTAGGGCCAGACTAGGACATAGCCTATAGTTGTCAGTGCTGACATCGTCAGGGATAATTTTGTTACATTTAATAAGTGGACTTATGTAAAAGTAAAGCATTTGTTCATTTTAGTCGTCTACAATCTAAATGTTTATTCTTGTTTTTACAAATCTATAAGGAAACTAGAGGGTTCTGTGCTGGAGTGAGTTCTGACTCTGGAGAATGGACTAGTCACAGTAACCATACAATGACCGTGTCACTAAGCCGCTGTTTCATTACTTACCTCTCCAGCTTAACTAGTTTCAGTCACTTCCTGAGTTGTACAAGTACACATTCAGCCAGACTTATTTTTTAAACATCTGATATTCCATCACTGCTCAGTCTCACCCTAACTCGGCATGTATAATCATTCATCCCGCATCGTCCTAGTCGTAGAAACATCGTAATAAATACACTTTTATAAACAACACTTTTGTCTCTGTGCCAGTTTATTATAAAGGTTTTCCCTGACGTACCCACAGTACCCAGTTTCACCAGCACTCAAATATTAACGGCTCAATAATATTGATAATCCACATTTGAATGGAAACTTACGTTCGATTGAATATGTTTATATTCCATTTAGCATTTATTAAAAGTAAGCCCTTACAAAACATTACACCAGTTATTATAATGTGGTACCTGTTGCCCAGTAAAACACAGAGGGAAGTACTTTCTTCACTGAAGCACCGTATCAGGCCTGTGTCATCTAGTATAAAACACGAGCTCTTCTGAGGAAGTTAATGAACATGAATTAGATGTTCAGCTTCAGATCTTCAGTAAAAGATGTTCAGGTATAAGACACACCTCCACTACGGATGACAAAAGGTTTATTTCCATGTTCAGTGAAAAAGTATTACACAGGAAGTGCTCAAATTAAATCCAGACCTACGCATCTTTCAGGAAGAGTCACTGCTGTGATTGCCTTCTTTAGCTGTTCCATCACGTTAGAACAGAGAAGCTGTGACTGACCATCACTAAAAGTCTCAGTCGCTCCAGATGCTCCGGGTAGGAAAAGTGAAAACAGTGAATCAATGGATGAGATTCAAGTCAGGTGTACCAGGAGCAATTAGGGACATCCGTCCGATCTGGTACCGCCTCTTCTCGTGTGCTCCTGCAGCTCCTCACCAGAACTAAACAGGTGCCGGTCCAGAAGTAACCAGCAGAAGCTCCTAAATGTTCCTTCACAGCTCCTGTTTCACATGGCTGGCACGGTTAGCCTTCAGGTCTGGCTTCTTCTTCTCTGCTTTCTTGTCTTTTTTCTTGGCGTTCACCTCATTTTGCTGCTTGTCTTTAGTGTTGTTGCTGGCAGCCTTCCCAGGGAACACCTGACCCTCCACAGTAACATCTTCACACAGGTCTTGGGCCACCAGGAAGTCTCGGACTTCCCAGGCTAAACTCCCATCTCGAAGCATGAAGATGACCCTGTTTGAGCCCACTACAAACCTGTAAGACAAACACAAACGCTTTATCGTTTAGAGGTGTATCAAATGTCCCACAGGCACTTTTTAATTACATATTTATAATTAATGTACAATTTTTTCATTTCATCTACAGGTGGCCATATCGGTTATTTATTGTCCAGAGAAACAAAACCTATCATGTCAACCAAAATGTATGATGATGTAATGGCACCTACTGAAGATCACGTGGGCTGTCACGACAGTACTGGCTAACAGTATCGGCTCATATCAGCGATTATACTGTAATGACTCAGAGTCTCTGGTTGCTCTTTCATGAGTGTTATTTTCGGGCTACTGTCGCCGTAACCCGCGCCTTACAAACTCTTAACTTTTTCAACAGAATCGCTCGTAAAGGAGGATTTACTAGCGTAGCAAACCAAAGCGGGAAAAACCGGAACAACATTTCTCACCCGTTGAGCTCGCCTTGAAAATAAAACGTTAACCCTATAGTTTACTATTCAAACCCTTACAACATGTTTGCAGTAATTTGGCCACTCCGGCTATCCGTAGAGGTTTACTGATTACACGGGAGAGGGAGGGGTTTGGCTCGTCTCTCCGCACAAGAAGGATGGAAAACAGAACTCCACTGGCGTTGAACGTCCCCAAATAACCAAAAACCAGAAAGCCAAATGCAAAGTTTAGAGCAGCACATTTACCCAGAGGCTCTCTGATTGAGCAAACTTGTGAGAATACACGTAATAACCGCTTAGAGACGGAGCAACATGTCATCGCTAGCATAGCGGTTTGACCAGTTATATCGATATAAAGTCATCTTGTATCTTGTTTATCGATATTTTCTAAATAGCGATACATCGCCCAGCCCTACTTCAGACACATCAGAAGTCCACTCACTCATTTGCCGAGATGACTTTGCTTGCAGACCGGATTCCCTAAAACTTCCACTATTCTGGTGCGTAGACTAATCAATGGTGCAGAAGTGGTCAATGTTAATTTGAGAACTTGTTAAATTACATCAAACAAACAGCCAAATTTATTATATAAACCCAGACATCACACCTTCCCTTGGATCTCCTTCCAGTTGGACATGCCCAGAAAACCTCACCAGGGAGGTGTTTGGGAGGTATCCTGACCAGATGCTCGAGCCGCCTCGACTGACTCCTCTCAACGTGGAGGAGTAGCGGGTGAACTCCGAGCCCCTCCCCGATGACCGATCTTCTCACCCTATCTCTAAGGGAGAGCCCTAGATCACCATTTACTAGGGCTGGGCGATATGGCAAAAATAGAATATCACGATTTTTCCAATATTTTATCACGATTTCGATTTTATCACGATTTTTTATCCATGAATAGCATAACTTCAATTGCGTATTAAAGAAGAGAAACATTGAATAAATAAACATTTATTCATATTAGGGATAATCAGCACAGTGCTAACCCACTTATATTTTAAACTCACACCAGAGATGATAAAAGTCCTGAGAGAAACAATTACAAAAATCAGTTCTTCTCGTTTTTCAAGTAACTTAACATAAATTAAAATCGTAAACATATTTAAAGTGCAAACATGTCAATTGCAAACATTAACTTGTTCAAAATACTACGTAGCTCCCAGTTGCTCATGTAGTGGATAGTTAAGCTCAAATACGGCTCTGATGTGCGGCTGGACCAGAGATCGCTTGTGGTAGCAAATAACTGCTCATTCTGAATATTTTCTGCAACTCTCACTTTGCATTCAGCGTACATGCGTGGAATGGCGGTGTTCGAAAAATACTTGCGGCTGGAAAACTCGTAGCGCAGATCCAATGTTTTTATCATGTTCTTAAATCCCGCTCCTACTGTTGGCACGGGACACAAATCTTTAACCAAGTGGTACGTCACTGCATCGGTCACGCTGTTCCATCGTCTGCTGTCTCTGTCGTAGGGAGTGAGTTTTGTGTGTTTGTTAGCGTTTGCTGCCTGGAAGAAGCACTAGCCGCTGCAGGCTTTTTAGCTTTAGCTGCCAGCTGGCTCTCATTGTATTGTATTGTTTGCCTTCTTTTCAAGTGATTAAACAAGTTTGTGGTGTTGCCATCACTCGCCTTGATGCTCTCCTTGTAAATGACGTTTCGCTGCTCTTTGTCATCTGGTGAAAACCCAAACCAGTTCCATATAACGGACCGAAGACCTCGCTGTCGCTCTCCGCCGCGGCCGAAGCCATGTTAGTTCACACACAGGTGAAAACAAGCGGGTCAGTAATATATTACTATGACTCACTCTGATTGGTTAAGGGTCAAACAAAGGCGCGTCATTCGCCTGAGGTAAGTTCCCTTTTCATTCAGAGGCAGAAATTCAACAGCAGAGCTGTGAATCGTGATAAAAAGGTCTCTCAAAAATGACAGACCGTCAGATGTGTAGATCGTCATATCGCCCAGCCCTACCAGCCACCCTGTGGAGAAAAGTCATTTTGGCCACCTGTATCCGCAATCTCGTTCTTTGAGCCACTATCCAAAGCTCGTGACCATAGGTGAGGGTAGGAACGTTGACTGGTAAATCCAGAGCTTTGCGTTCCGGCTAAGCTCTTTCTTCACCACGACAGATCAGTACAGGGTTAGGGTTAACCCTAACCCTAACCCATCACTGCAGATGCAGCGCCAATCTGCATATCTCATACTCCATTTTTCCCTTCAGTTGTGAACAAGACCCTAGGGATGCACCGATGGATCGGCATTTGATCGTAATCGGCCGATAGCGCCCCTATCGGTTTTGATCGGAGTTTTCAAAATAAATCAAAGCAGACCGATCAGGTAGGGTTGTCACGGTAACCGGTGTAGCGGTAAACCCCGGTAAAAAAAAAAGTTGACAATAATAATAACCGTCTTGTTTTTAAAAAAACTATATTATCTTGGTGGGTTTTACCGTGGCTGCGGTGTAGGCGCGGTGACCCTTACCAGCCACCGTATCATCTGCTGAAGTTGCCGGCGGCACATGCGCGCACCTGATCGGTGCATCCCTACAAAACCCCGACATACTTTAACTCCTCGGCTTGAGGCAGGACCTCATCCCTGACCTGGAGAAGGTGTTCTACCCTTTTCCAATTGAAGACCATGATCTTGGATTTAGAGGAGCTGATTCTCATCTCAGCCGCTTCACACTCTGCTGTAAACCGCTCCAGCAAAAGCTGGAGACCACTGTCCGATGAAGCCAACATCATCTGCAAAAAGCAGAGACCTGATCCTCAGGCCACCAAAACCGATCCCCTCAACACTAGGGATGCACCGATCAGGTTTTTTGCTGCCGATCACCGATACCGATATCAAAGAATAATGATCACCGATACCGATCACGTGGATTGGCCAGACATTTTCTACAACATTATAATGAGCGCTACAAACTACCTAATCTGGGAATAAAGGAAATGTAACCTAATCTAAAATGGTCTGTATTAGGGTTGTCACGGTGTGAAAATTTAACCTCACGGTTATTGTGACCAAAATTACCACGGTTTTCGGTATTATCGCGGTATTTTTTTAAACGTGCTACATTTTCACACAATTAAATAAACCCTGTATGTCAGGAAATATTGTCCTCAGTTTGTGTCTAAATTTAGCCTAAAATGTGTTATTTTGTAATTATGTTGTTTATTTGTTTACATTTTCCCCTTTAGTCTTTAAAACACCAATATTTGCCCATAACTTCTTATTTTATGTCTGTTTGATGTCATCATTTTAAAAATATTAGACCAGATGATACTCAGTACTCAAGTAGCCTTCTAATCAGATAATTTTTTACCCTTACTTGAGTAATAAACCCTATATCAGGAAAGTATTGTCCTCGGTTTGTGTCCTTCCAGTGAGCTTTGCAGATGTGGGAAAATGTCATCAGGCAGTAATCGTTGTTAAATTCATAATTATTCTCGGAGAGAGACCAACTCTTATCTGCCCCTGGGAGCCCCGTAATGCATAGCGTCATTTCAACATGGCGGTGTCCGCGACACGGTTTATATGCAGGTAGCGGCGCTGCGGCTGCTTTATATAGCGACTCGTTGCATTCTCCCTCAACCCAAATCCTCGGATCACGCATTTTAGCTAAAACGCTAACGTTAGCTTGCCTTGCGTTGACTGTAGAGTTGTGGGTGATGGTCATCAGATGTGTCATGAGATTTGAAGCGTTGCTGCCTTTCACAGACACTTTTTCTGCTCGTGCTGCAAACAGGATAGCCGTCTTCTTTCAGCTGTCCCTCGGCATTCTTCACATATCCAAAAACGGCTTTATTTATAAAGCGCCTTCCGCAACCCTGTCAGGAAGCCCAAGGCGCTGAGTCGCAAGAGACAGCATTATTTGTGCTGTTTAGTATTTAACCAAGTCCTGGAACTTCATTGTCCGCGTTTTAATAAAAAGTTCATTTGTGTGATCCAAATATCCTATCCATTCTGAACACATGAACTTTGCATGCTGGTTCTGGACGCTGCTGGATAGAATTCCTGGAATGGAATTTTATGCGGAACTAGAGCTGAAACAACTAATCGATTTAATCGATTATAATCGATTATTAAAATAGTTAACAACTTTTTTAGTCATCGATTAGTTGTTTAATAATCACATTTTACCGCATAAAGTCTATTTTTACCACAATCTGACATCGGTTACAATCTGTTAAATTTGCCGCCAGTGTGTGGCAGTAATGAGCCACTGATCCACCAGTGAAGCCGTAGAAGAAAAAACGAGCCAATAAGTGCCCTCGGTTTTCATGACGTAACACGTTACTGACGCGCATCTTGCTGTGAGAGATGGCGGAACAAGAAGAAATACGGAAGAAAAATAGAAGCGACAAAACTGAAGAGAAACCCCGGACAAAAACCTCACGAGTATGGGAGCACTTCACTCTAGATGCCATGAAAAGACGGGTGACCTGCAAAATATGCAAAAACCATCTAGCATGGCACGGAAGCACGACGTCCCTAAGTGAACATTTGAGACGAAAGCATGTGGGGGCTGATGCAGCAGAGGAAGAGCCAGCCCGGTAAGTAACAGAAAGTAAACAAGCTAAATATAGTGGTCCATCACTACACGCAGATCCAATTTGGGACTTAGTGTTTTAGCTGAGTTCGTTATAGTGGATGTTAAACATGATTTTTTTGCCGCGTCAGTCTACGGTGTTCTACTTCTGACTGACTAGATGCAATCGTGAATCTCTGTGTTGTGTATCATGCGCTTGCCAAATTTAGCACGTCTGTTCATAAGAATGTTCTCGTTAAGAGAAAAACGGCACAAACCCATAACTATGTTCCTCATTCAAAAAAGGACAACTCCGCAGAGAAAAATATACAGACGAGCTGTGTCCAGGTGAATATAACGCGGCATAGTTGTACGCTTTCAATTTTTAAATACAGGAGAAATTCAGAAAGTCATTTTTTACTATTAAAAGGCTGTTTTACTATCTAACGCTGTAAAACGCCTCACAACACATTTTTGTCAAAATAAATGATCACTGTATATTGTTAATTAATTCAAATAATGTAATATTGATTTAGTGTTGTAGTGTGTGTGCTGCTTTATTTTATATGTGTACTTATTTCAGTCTATTTGTGTTTCTTATGCAGAAAAAAAAACAAGCAAAGATGGACAACTACATGGGGAACAAGACACTCACCCCCCAGCAATGCATACCACTTACAAACTCTATTCTAGATTCTACATTATTTTTTTATGGAATTTACCTCTTATATTTTGATGCCAAAAAATTATTCTGGACTGATATTTTGCACTGTTTAGCTCATTTTACACCGCTGACTGCGTTCATGTGCAATAAAATAGATTGCAGTCAACTGCACAATTCTCCTATGTTTTTCTTTTTCTTAACTGAAATGTATTCATCACTTGTATAGGTTAAATAGCTAAACAATAATAAACCGATTAATCGATGAATCGAAAAAATAATCGACAGATTAATCGATTATGAACATAATCGTTAGTTGCTGCCCTATGCGGAACACACTGCTGAAATTGGAGATTGTTGATGCAGTCCGATATAATCCAATAGTGTTTTTGGGCCGATATCAATATGGGAATGGGACATCTGTTCACACTGCAGGCAAAAGCGCAACTAATCTTGTTTTGTTTCCCCACATGCGACCCACATCTGATTTCTGATAGGACTTAAATATGTGGTGACCACAGGGTGTGTTCCAACTACAGGGGGATCACACTCCTGAGCCTCCCTGATAAGGTCTATTCAGGGGTTCTGGAGAGGAGGCCAGACGGATTGTTGAACCTCAGATTCAGGAGGAGCAATGTGGATTTCGTCCTGACCATGGAACACTGGACCAGCTCTATACCCTTAGGGGGATCCTGGAGGGTGTGTGGGAATTTGGTCAACCATGTATGACGAGTGCCAGAGCTTGTTCCACATTGCCAGCAGTAAGTCAGGCTTGTTTCTGGTGAGAACTGGACTCCGCCAAGGCTGGCCTTTGTCCCAGATTCTGCCAAGGTATTTTGGTGGCCTGAGGATCAGGTCTCTGCCTTTTGCAGATGATGTGGTCCTGTTGGCTTCATCAGAACGTGATCTCCAGCTCTCACTGGAGTGGTTCGCAGCAGAGTGAAGCAGCTGGGATGAGAATCAGCTCCTCTAAATTTGAGACCATGGTCTTGAATCTGAAACGGGTAGAATGCCCCAAGTGGAGGAGTTTCAGTATCTCGGGGTCTTGTTCACGAGTGAGGGAAAACTGGAACGTGAGATCGATAGGTGGATTGGTGCTGCGTCTGCAGTGATGTGGGCGTTGTACCGGTCTGTCGTGGTGAAGAGAGAGCTGAGTCAGAAGGTGAAGCTCTCGATTTACCGGTCGATCTACGTTCCTACCCTCACCTATGGTCATGAGCTTTGGGTAATGACCGAAAGAACGAGATCACAGATACAAGCGGCCAAAATGAGTTTTCTCCGCAGAGTGGCTGGGCTCTCCCTTAGAGATAGGGTGAGAAGCTCAGTCATCCGGGAGGGGCTCGGAGTAGACCCGTTGCTCCTCCACATCGACAGGAGCCGGTTGAGGCGGCTCTGGCATCTGGACAGGATGCCTCCTGGCCTCCCTGTTGAGGTTTTCTGGGCACGTCTAACTAGGAGGAGACCCAAGGGAAGACCCAGGATACGTTGTAGGGACTATGCTGGCTAGGGCACACCTTGGGATTCCCCACTGAGGAGCTGGGAAAAGGAGAGTATGGGCCTCTGGGCTTAGGCTACTGGAAATGGATGGTTGGATGGAATATGATATCCCGCATTAGTGTAGAGAGCAGCAGTATACCAACATGGCAGCGCTAATGAAAGCAAAAAGTGACTTTTACATAATATAAAGAAAGAGAGAAAAGCTTTTAGAATGTTCAAACACCTTTTCCTGTTTACGTTCACTCACACAAAGTCTAGTTTTGCTTGCTAATTTTTCTGACATGGTTATTATAAACACCAACCTAACAGAGAAGCTCACCTCTGAACATCATAGTTGGCGTTGAAGAGACTGCCCTGCCACAGGCCTGTGATCTCCTCAGTCTCCTTCTCTGTAGGATTTCCAGTCACTGTTGCAAAGACCATCAGAGTCCTGCCTTTTTTGGACATCTTGAGAAGATCCTCAGGCTTAGAGGCATCCAACTTTGAAAGGTCAATAGGTGGAGGAGATCGTCTGTGCTCAGGAAGGTCCCCTTCTTCTATGTCATCATCCTCCTGCAAAGTACAGAGGAAAAGTCCATCAGGAGAACGTAAGCGTTTTCTACTTTAATTAGGTAGGGTTGCAGAGATTAACCGGTTTAACTATTAACTGTGAGGTACCTACATGGTAACTTGGTGGTCTGACAGATATATTTTACTTTGCTGATGTTTCTTGAACCAGCTCAGTGGCCTAGTGGTAGAGTGTCCGCCCTGAGACTGGGAGATCAGGGTTCGATTCCTGGTCGGGTCATACCAAAGACTTTGAAAAAATGGGACCCAGTGCCTCCCTGCGTGACACTCAGCATTAAAGGGGTTGGATTGGGGGGTTAAACCACCAAATGGTTCCCGAGCGCGGCTCGTCTGTAGCTCACCGCTCCCCCAGGGGATGGGTCAAATGCGGAGAACAAATTTCGCACACACATCAGTGTGTGTGACAACTAATGGGACTTTAACTTTATATTTGACAAGCAGCTGCATGTCAACGTGTTTTCTTTCTGATGCTGTGATGTTGTGTTCAGAAACCAAGATTATTATTTCAGATTCATGACAAAATAAGTACGAGTATGGTAAATGGTAGGGCTGGGCGATATGACGATTTTAGACCGTTTTACGATCTACACATCTGACGGTCTGTCATTTTTGAGAGACCTTTTTATCACGATTCACAGCTCTGCTGTTGAATTTCTGCCTCTGAATGAAAAGGGAACTTACCCCAGGCGAATGACACGCCTTTGTTTGACCCTTAACCAATCAGAGTGAGTCATTGTAATATATTAGTGCCCCGCTTGTTTTCACCTGTGTGTGAACAAACATGGCTTTGGCCGCGGCTGAGAGCGACAGCGAGGTTTTCGTTCCGAAGAGGAACGCAGGGTTTCCTTAGCGCGCGGCGCTAACAACTTAGCGACGTGACATGTCTCGGAGAAAGCGTAAAAACACGTTGGACGCTTCTTCTGAAGCAGGAAAATAACACCGCTTCTTAAGCAGAGCACGACGCCGCCTCGGCTCGTTCACCCTCTGCCGAGCCGGTGTCGGTACCGGACTGAGCTCGGTCACTGGGTCGATGGAGCTGCCCCGTGACTGCCTGATGGAAAACCAGCGGGTTTCATCAGACTCGTAGTTTCTTGTTTTTGCTGGGGACCCCCTGTATTTTACCGCTCCCTCCTGCAGTCTTCCCCTATTAACATTTAAAATGATTCTGTAAATCCATGTATCAATAGAAACAATCTCTGCCTCTGCCAGCTGCAGTAAATGTAGTCTCCAAATAATAAATAAGAGGTGCATTCATCTGTGGATCTCCTTTGATCCACATTAGTGATATTTTCAGCACCAGAACAGTGAAACAAAGAAACAGATTCCTGAGTTTGTTAGTAATTTTATTTATTAGGTGCATCTAACCTGTTCTACTTTTCTCTGAAATGAGATCAAATCAGTGCTTCTATGGGTTGTCTCCAATCTGCACTGGAAAATTTTACTTTATTTAGAGACTTGTTGCAGAAAATATTCAGAATGCGCAGTTATTTGCTACCACAAGCGATCTCTGGTCCAGCCGCACATCAGAGCCGTATTTGAGCTTAACTATCCACTACATGAGCAACTGGGAGCTACATAGTATTCTGAACAAGTTCATGTTTGCACAATACGTTTGCAATTGACATGTTTGCACTTTAAATATGTTTACGATTTTAATTCATGTTAAGTTACTTGAAAAACGAGAAAATCTGATTTTTGTAATAGTTTCTCTCAGGGCTTTTATCATCTCTGGTGTGAGTTTAAAATATAAGTGTGTTAGCACTGTGCTGATTATCCCTAATATGAATAAATGTTTGTTTATTCAATGTTTCTCTTCTTTAATACGCAATTGAAGTTATGCTATTCATGGATAAAAAATCGTGATAAAATCGAAATCGTGATAAAATATTGGAAAAATCGTGATATTCTATTTTTGCCATATCGCCCAGCCCTAGTAAATGGTGGTCTAGAAAGGTGTTTATAGTTCCCAGAACCTGATAAGATATTTTATTACATTATTTATTTTTCACCTATTTGAGGCATTGCCACCTTGGGGTCTGGGGGTTTACCTGCCTCAGTGAGCCTAGGAGCTGCACCAGCAGAAGCTCAGCCTTCAGGTGGGACACCAAAGTAGGACAGGTCAGGGGTCAAAATAAAGTATAATATACATAAAATGCTTTTCTAGACACTCAAGATACTGTAAAAAGTCACGATAAAACAAGCAGATTATCCAACAATTAAAAAAAACTTTAAAACAGTTTAGAAATTAATCTTGTCAAGAGTTTTAGGGTGGAGAGGTCAGGGGCAGTGTTGCCAACCGTTTTTGACTGAAAGTAGCTGTGCAGCCAGAGTCCTTGGCCGAGACGGAGCTGCCACCAGCGGCAAACATAAATAAATAAATAAATGCTCGGAGACCTGCTGAAGTCCCGGACAAGCACTGCTTCTGCAACCGTCCCGAAGAGAGTTTGAGCCGAGCTGGAGCTCACTCGCTACCTGCAGGAGGAATGCATCCACCCCTGACATGGTGGAGCAACAACCGGGAGAGATTCCCTTTGCTCGCCAGTCGCACGCAAGTACGTGTGCGTTAGTGCAACGAGCGCACCATCCGAGAGGGTTTTCAGTGTTGCTGCAAATGTTGCCACCCCTCTCAGGTCCTCTCTCAAACCGTATATGGTTAACATGCTGGTTTTGCTTGTGGGTAACAAGGACGTGACCGAGCTATAAATCACCGTCATTCGTGTGTGTGAAAGTGAAATGATAGTGTGCCCGCCCCCCGGCGCGCGCGCCCGGTACATGTAATTTTTATGCTTGATTTTAAACAACTAAACAAAATGGGGACTTGTTTCTTATTTGTTAGATGCTGCAGCCAAATTTGCATTTAAAAGTTTAACCTTCTCCTGAATGTTGTTGTTTTTAAGTTCAGTCGGACTCCGACTGTCGGAGAAACAAACGTTACTGCGATCTGTGTTGTTACTGCCCTTTGATCTGCATTCAGTAAAGTGTTATTAAAGAAGGCACGGCAATTTTTAACCTTTTTTAAATGTGTAAACATTATGTTTAGATAGTACTGCAATAAAAAAAGGACTGCAATAATATCGCACACCGCAATATTAAGCCACCCTGAATCACCGCAGGAGGAATTCCTCAACCGCGACAGCCCTAAATGGCACCTGTTTGAACTCATTATCTGTATAAAAGACACCTGTCCACAGCCTCAGACAGTCAGACTCCAAACTCCACTATGGCCAAGACCAAAGAGCTTTCGAAGGACACCAGGAAAAGAATTGTAGACCTGCACCAGACTGGGAAGAGTGAATCTACAATAGGCAAGCAGCTTGGTGTGAAAAAAATCAACTGTGGGAGCAATTATCAGAAAATGGAAGACATACAAGACCACTGATAATCTCCCTCGATCTGGGGCTCCACGCAAGATCTCATCCCGTGGGGTCAAAATGATCATGAGAACGGTGAGCAAGAATCCCAGAACCACACGGGGGGACCTGGTGAATGACCTGCAGAGAGCTGGGACCACAGTAACAAAGGCCACCATCAGTAACACACTACAACGGCAGGGAATCAAATCCTGCAGTGCCAGACGTGTTCCGCTGCTGAAGCCAGTGCATGTCCAGGCCCGTCTGAAGTTTGCCAGAGAGCACATGGATGATACAGCAGAGGACTGCGAGAATGTCATGTGGTCAGATGAAACCAAAGTAGAACTTTTTGGTATAAACTCAACTCGTCGTGTTTGGAGGAAGAAGAATACTGAGTTGCATCCCAAGAACACCATACCTACTGTGAAGCATGGGGGTGGGAACATCATGCTTTGGGGCTGTTTTTCTGCTAAGGGGACAGGACGACTGATCCGTGTTAAGGACAGAATGAATGGGGCCATGTATCGTGAGATTCTGAGCCAAAACCTCCTTCCATCAGTGAGAGCTTTGAAGATGAAACGTGGCTGGGTCTTCCAACACGACAATGATCCCAAACACACCGCCCGGGCAACAAAGGAGTGGCTCTGTAGATTAAAGAAATTAATCTATGCCCACCACTAATACATATGTATATATATATATATATATATATATATATATATATATATATATATATATATATATATATATATATCTCAACAGCAAAAGGGAGGAAAATAAAAACTGTTATGTGTTAAAGTTATTAATTAGTATGATTAAAATGGCCCAAATTGCTTTGATATGTACAATAAATTCCAAAACTACCAATAAAGTGGCATTAAGACAGATATGGTGTGGTGATCCAAACAGTTCTGTTGTAGGATATAACTCAGACCTCCTGCTCTCCTCATTCTCAAAGGCATTTTCCTAAAAAGCAGTTTTTTTACACCTCCTAGTTTCTCAACTTCTCTGTTGTGTTTTCTCTCCATCGTGATAATAACGGCGCACCGAGCAAAAGGGAGCGGGTGTCTCATAGTAAAGCCATCCCTGTGTCTCTGAAGGAAATTCAGATGAGCCACAGAGCTGCGTGTGTAATTGGGACGGCAGTTGAAACTCCTGTTGACTGTATTTGCCAAATGCAGGAAAAGCCAAAGTGTCTGACGGCTGCAGAACCAGAGATGGCAGGTTGACGCCCGCGCCGTCTCTAGTAGAAGTGTGAGCCTGTAGCAGACGTAAATCTGCGGTCTCTCTGCAGCTGTACCTTTGTCTTTGGCGAATCAGCTCGGCCGAAAACGGTTTATGAATGGTCAGTCCTCGTGCACATGTGCAGATTATCGTTCTCTTTCCTTACTCCCCGAAGAACGGTTCAGAGTGCAAATGGTTTCTTTGTTGCTAACCTGTGGGGAATATCTACAAGAAAGTTTTACAGAAAGTAGCATCGGGTCCTGAGAAATGTCGCTAGGTTTGTCGCTAGATGCTTTTTGAAAGAAAAAAAAGGTCGTTGAGGGGGGTCAAAAAGTCGTCAGGAACAGCGACAGTCACCGAGTTGGCAACACTCAGGGGGGCTTTGGTAAGTAAGTAAGTAAAAGTTTATTTATAGAGCGCCTTTCTCAGATATAAATCACAAAGTGCTGTACAACATGATAAAGATCAGGGCAAATACCTCTAACCAATAAAAACATCAGAAAAACAATAGCAGTGATAAAGTAGAAAATAAAATCATGAGTATAAACAAAGTGAAGGTGTGAACCCAAACAAAGCCATCATTCTGAAACATTTAGGGAGGGAACGCCTGGATGAAAAGGTGAGTTTTTAGATGGTTTTTAAAGACTTCTACAGTGTTAGCGAGACGGAGATTTGAAGGTAGACTGTTCCAAAGTCTGGGTGCAATAGTCTGAAAGGCCCCGCCCCCTTTGGTTTTCAGTCTGGTTCGAGGAACAGCCAGGAGGTTTTCAGATGTGGATCTAAGGTTCCGAGAGGTGGTGTGTGGGGATAAAAGCTCAGATAGGTAGCTTGGAGCCTGGTTGTTAAGAGCTCTGTAGGTCAGGACTAAAACTTTAAACTGTATTCTATATTCTACCGGGAGCCAGTGGAGGGACTGTAAACCTGGAGTGATGTGAGCTTGTCTGCAACAATGAGTATCCTGTCTAGTTTAATAGTTGAAGATAGGAGATCCTGAGAGTCAGACAGGAAGGATGAAGTAGATCCAGGTGGGCGATAGACCAGAATTCCATAAACTGGTTGAACTCAACCAATTTTAATCATGATCACCTCGAATGAGCTGTAGGAGTTTGAGGATATAATTTGGCACGAAAAGTGTTTCTTAAAGATAACAGCTGTTCCTCCACCGTGGCCTGTGGTCCGTGGAGCAGAGAACAAAGAGCATTCTTGAGGACAGAGCTCACGGAGATGAGTGACGTCATTTTCGCGCTGCCACGACTCGGAAATCCACAAAAAGTTTAACTTTTTGGTCCGGAACAGATCGTTGAGGATGTGAGACTTGTTGGCTATGGAGCGCGCGTTAATCAACATCATTTTCGCGGAGGAATCTGGCGGTGTACGTGCCGCGGGCTCCATAATGGCGGGCTGCTGGCGGACTAAGCTACGTAGCGACTCCAGGCTACGCCCGCGGTGGTTCTTTGTCTCCCACGCCTTCAGGTAGCGTCCTGCATCAGGGGCTCCATTTAGCAGCGAGATCAGCCCAACTCCGTTAAGTTTCTGTTGGATCCGCCACAACACAGCCGCGGAGCAGCGATCGGGAAGAGCTTCGCCTCTCAGGATCTTTCGAAGCTGAACGAAGAAGCCGGCTCTTTTCCCCCGTTTCCTCTTCCATGGCCTCCTGGGCATCGGCAGGCCGACAGGTAACAGAGGGCCGAGATCTGGGTTAACGCCAGGTTCCAGAGGCGGTGGGAAAGCCGGTCCGGTATCGGAGTTCTGGAGGTTGATCAACGCGGACCTGATCGACAACAGTAAGTCTCGATCATATGTTAGCAGGGACTCCGCACCAGATAAAGAAGAAACAATAAAAAACACCAAATAACCAAAAAAGATCAGGAGACTAGCAAACGGACAACCACTCATGGACGCCATCTTGTAAGCCAAGATGGTAGAGTTTCGGGAGGGTGGGGGCAGCAATGGAAAAAGCCGAATCTCCCCCAATAAAGAATTCTGATTATATTTGGTTTGTAGACACTCAGATTAAAGCAGCACAGGTGCTTTTATGCTGAAACCAATAAAGGAAGTGTTTCTGCTGCTCACAAAGGAACTTTTATTTATTTAACCTGAGAATAGTCGATACAAGCAAGACTAATACTTAAATACAGTCGATAAAAGTTGACTAATATAGTCAATGTGCACTATGATACTGAATTCGAATGATGTTGCGGAATCAGACATATTTTGAGAAAGAAACCATTGAATATAGTGAAACTTTATTTTGAAATGTCCCATCAGATCAGGATGAAAGGCAGGGCTGTATAAGAATTGCAGACAAATGAGTTTATCCTTTTAATTTAAAGCATTTTTGGAACAAATAAATTATAAACGCTGCTTTATCTTGCACACAATTTTACAAAAAACAATTAACTCGTGTTTATTCTTTTAATTTTAAGTATTTTTGGAACAAATAAAATTAAAAACGCAGTTTTATCTTGCACAAAATTTTACAGAAAAAAACGTTTAAATCGTTTTCATTCTTTTAATTAAAAGTATTTTTAAATAGATCATATCATTAAAATTCATCTTGTACAGTTTTACTCCAACCTAGTGTTCATCAGCACGTTCAGACCAGGCACACAGCGCTTACCGTAATTTCTCTTGTAGTTGCGCCCGTAAAAATCGAACGAGGGCTGGCTTGACGGCAGTATTTAAACGCCGTTAAACAACCGAACGTGTTCAGAAATGGGTGAAATGCGATCCGGTCGACTTGCCATAAAATAGGGGTCAGCCGCATTGAAGCACGAGAGTACCGTCCCGCGCCACTGGAGCTTCCAGTGTGAAATTGGGGTTAGCGGGCTAAGGTTAGCAGCTGGCTGAATGAAAACCACCGCCTTACTCACCTCCCATTGCTCCAGAAGCCTCGCCATATCTGCGTCATTGTAGTCTCGGATGTCCTTTTTCTTGGGTTTAGTTTTAGCGTCTAACGCGGATATACAGAGCAAGCATGAGCATAGCAGGATAATCACAACTCCCGATTTAAACTCAGACGCCATCTTTACAGATGTTATACTGCGATTGGCTGAGAAGAGAAGCCGGTCACGAGGCAGGAAGGACGCGTCATGAACGTCAACCCCATAGATATGTACATATGTAAACACTAGATGGCGAAAGCGGGAGTCGAGGGCGTAGCTAAACGGCGGCCATCTTACCTCAGACAACAGACCCCTCCACTCTCAATGGTAGCAGCTGGAAGGTGAGTGATCAGCTTAAACAAAACACCCTTAACTTGATGAAATATTGACGTATTTACAAGCGGTTTCCCTTATTACAAACATTAGAACACATGGGCTTGAGACAACATACTTGCACATGTTGAAATGAACGCTTTTGCTTTTGAAAGTGGCTTAATTGGGAACCATGTGTCCTGCCTAGGCTATCTGCATGTGTGTGTGTGTGTATATATACAGTGTTGGGAGTAACGCGGTACAAAAGTAATTAATTACTGTAATGCATTGCTTTTTGCTGTAATGAGGTAATGTAAGGCATTACAGGGAAAAAATGGTAATATTTACTCGGTACAATTGTCAGTAACGTGGTAATTACAATGCATTTTTAAACCCAGAATCAAGATGTGGGTTTCCTAAAAATTCAAATTGCGGGAAGCCTGAAAAAAGATCCAGTATCAACATACATGGCGTCATTTATGGACTCAGCTTTGCGGGCATTCTATGAGCAGAGAGGACGCAGCGGTAAAGGCTCAAATACTCCAGCTGCGTCCTGTGCGCGGCCGCTACAAAATCGCTCCACCAAAACAAAGTCATTCGTTTGCGATTGTTTGTATCAGCCCATATTCTCTGGTACTTCACGTTTCTTTTCAGCTGAGTTCATAATCTGTGCCCCGGTGATTTCAAGTCATTGCTGCTGGAGCGCAGCGCATATTAAGCTTTTTTATTTTTGCGTTCGATAGATCCCTTTGGCTGATTAGTTAGAAAGTAGGAAATCTAGGAAACAGTTTTTCTGGAAGACAGAGAAAACATGCAGCATGGTTAGAGAGAGAAAGGTCAGGGAATTATTCAAATAAAACCAAGAAAACAAAACAAAGTGCTTGAAAAGACAAAGTAGGTAGATTTATCCCCAATACACATGTTTACCAGTGAAAAGCAATAATATATAAGCATTTAATATTTATACATGTGATAGAATCAGATCACCCCAGAAGTCAGTCCCACATCCAGGGCTGTATCAAGGAATTTGGGGACCAAGGCAAATATAGGCTTGGAGCCCCCACCACCTCACTCCTTGCTCAGTTAATATAAGATGGCAGCGTGCTGAGAGTACAATTTGTTGTTGCTTTTATTTAATAAATAATCATTTTAAAGCACTGTTATATCTGACTGTTTTTAACAACAATCCTAGCTCAGACACCACATCACTTTCCACATATATGTCATGAGCTCACTGAGCGTCAGATTACCAGATTCATATTGAAGTTGTTTTGGTGAAAGTAACTTAGAGTAATGCAAAAGTAGTGTAATGCCTTACATTTTAAAATCAGTAATATTGTAATGTAATGAATTACTTTAAAATGAGGGTAACAAGTAATAAATAATGCATTACAGTTTTGAAGTAACTTGCCCAACACTGTATATATCACTTGTATAGGTTAAATAGCTAAACAATAACAAACAGATTAATTGATTAATCGAAAAAATAATCGACAGATTAATCGATTATGAAAATAATCGTTAGTTGCAGCCCTAGTGTGTATATATATGTATATGTGTGTGTGTGTGTATATATATATATATATATATGTATATATATATATATGTATATATATATATATATATATATATATATATATATGTATATATATATGTATATATGTATACATGTTTATATATATATATATATATATATATATGTATATATGTATATATATGTGTATATATATATATATATATATATGTATACATATATATGTATGTATGTATATATGTATACATATATATGTATGAATGTATATATGTATACATATATATGTATGTATGTATATATGTATACATATATATGTATGAATGTATATATGTATACATATATATGTATGTATGTATATATGTATACATATGGCATGCCGTTCAGGAAATTATTATATATTTACACCAGAATACTTCTGAATATATGGACCGAACTCTGAATATATTGACCGAAGTCTGAATATATGGACTGAAAGTCTGAATATATGGACTGAAAATCTGAATATATGGACTGAAAGTCTGAATATATGGACTGAAAGTCTGAATATATGGACTGAAAGTCTGAATATATGGACCGAAGTCTGAATATATGGACTGAAAGTCTGAATATATTGACTCGAAGTCTGAATATATTGACTGAAAGTCTGAATATATGGACTGAAAGTCTGAATATATGGACTGAAAGTCTGAATATATGGACTGAAAGTCTGAATATATTGAGGAGCAGAGCTGTCAACTGATCACCACCTGGTGGTGAGTTGGATCAGATGGCAGGGGAAGATGCCGCGTAGACCTGGCAGACCCAAACGCATAGTGAGGGTCTGCTGGGAATGCCTGGCAGAAGAACCTGTTAAGACGGTCTTCAACTCCCACCTCCGGCAGAGCTTTGACCATGTCCCGAGAACAGTGGGGGACATTGAGTCCGAGTGGGCCTTGTTCCACTCTGCGATTGTTGAGGTGGCTGTTGCTAGCTGTGGTCGCAAGGTGGCCGGTGCCAGTCGTGGTGGCAACCCCCGTACCCGCTGGTGGACACCAGAGGTTCGGGGAGCCGTCAGGCTGAAGAAGTAGGCCTACAGGGCGTGGCTGGTCTGTGGGTCTCCGGAGGCAGCAGACAGGTACAGGATAGCCAAACGGGGTGCAGCAGTGGCAGTTGCCGAGGCAAAATCTCTGGTGTGTGAGGAGTTTGGTGAAGCCATGGAGAAAGACTATCGGTCGGCTCCAAAGAGGTTCTGGCAAACTGTCCGGCGCCTCAGGAGAGGAAGGCAGCAACTCGCTCACACAGTCAACTGGGGCTATAGTCGAACGGTGGAAGGAATACTTTGAGGAGCTCCTCAATCCCACCTATGTACATTCCGAGGAGGAACCAGAGCCGGGAGACCTGGGGATGGACTGTCCAATCTCGGGGGCAGAAGTTGCTGAGGTAGTCAAACAACTACACAGCGGCGGAGCCCCGGGGACAGATGAGGTTCATCCTGGGTATCTCAAGGCTATGGATGTTGTAGGGCTGTCATGGTTGACATGTCTCTACAACATTGCGTGGTCATCGGGGGCAGTTCCTGTGGAGTGGCAGACCGGGGCGGTGGTCCCCATCTTTAAGAAGGGTGACCTGAGGGTGTGTTCCAACTATAGGGGATCACACTCCTCAGCCTCCCTGGAAAGGTCTACTCCAAGGTACTGGAGAGGAGGGTCCGATCGATAGTTGAATCTCAGATTGAGGAGGAGCAATGTGGTTTTCGTCCTGGCCGTGGAACTGTGGACCAGCTCTATACCCTTGCAAGGGTGATGGAGGGGGCATGGGAGTTTGCCCAACCAATCCACGTGTGTTTTGTGGATTTGGAGAAGGCATTTATGACCGTGTCCACAGGGGCACCCTGTGGGGGACGCTCCAGGAGTATGGGGTGGGTGGCTTTCTGTTAAGGGCCATTCAGTCCCTTTACCAGAGGAGCGTGAGTTTGCTCCGCATAGCAGGTAGTAAGTCGGACCTGTTCCTGGTGAGGGTTGGACTCCGCCAGGGCTGCCCTTTGTTACTGGTTCTTTTCATTACCTTTATGGACAGAATTTCTAGGCGCAGCCGTGGTGTGGAGTGTGTCGAGTTTGGTGGCAGGAGAATCTCGTCTCTGCTTTTTGCGGATGATGTAGTCCTCCTAGCTTCATCCAGCTCTGACCTTCAGCTCTTGCTGGGTAGGTTCGCGGCCGAATGTGAAGCGGCTGGGATGAGGATCAGCACCTCCAAATCTGAGACCATGGTTCTCGACCGAAAAAGGGTGGCTTGCCAACTCCGGGTCGGAGGAGAGGTCCTACCTCAAGTGGAGGAGTTTAAGTATCTTGGGGGTCTTGTTCACAAGTGAGGGTAGGAGGGAACGGGAGATTGACAGGTGGATTGGTTCAGCATCTGCAGTGATGCGGACGCTGAGCCGATCTGTCGTGGTGAAGAGGGAGCTGAGCCAGAAAGCCAGGCTCTCGATTTACCGGTCGATCTACGTCCCAATCCTCACCTATGGTCATGAGCTTTGGGTAATGACCGAAAGAACAAGATCACGGATACAAGCGGCCGAAATGAGTTTCCTCCATAGGGTGGCCGGGCTCAGCCTTAGAGATAGGGTGAGGAGCTCGGACATTCGGGAGGGACTCGGAGTAGAACCGCTGCTCCTCCGGATCAAAAGTAGCCAGTTGAGGTGGTTTGGGCATCTGGTCAGGATGCCTCCTGGACGCCTCCCTGGGGAGGTGTTTCGGGCATGTCCTGCTGACAGGAGGCCCCCGGGTCGACTCAGGACACGTTGGAGAGGTTACATCTCCAATCTGGTCCGGGAACGCCTTGGAGTCCTGCCGGAAGAGCTGGTGGAGGTGGCCGGGGAGAGGACGGTCTGGAGCTCTCTAGTTGGGATGCTGCCCCCGCGACCCGGACTCGGATAAGCGGAGGAAGACGACGACGACTTGTTAGTTGGGGTCGTGTCGTGTGGGGTTAAGTGTTGTGAGCCTTTGAGGGTGTGTGTGTGTGTGTGTGTGTGTGTGTGTGTGTGTGTCTGTAAATGATTGTTTTAATGTTTTGATTTTGATTTTTGCTCTGCTGTCTTGCTCTGAATCTTTGCTCTTCTTTTTGTTGTAAAGGAGGACCCACTCGAAAACGAGATGTTTCATCTCAAGCGGTTCTTCATCTGTATGAAATTATGTTTAAATAAATAAAATCAGAATCAGAAAAAGCTTTATTGCCAGCGCTCCAGCGACCCAGAGCATAGAAACTTGACTCCGCAGCACAGCCTGACCAAGGTTACACACACACATGTAGACAGAACAGATACAGGCAGACCACGAGAGCAGCCATAACAGCGCTCATTA